CTCTAGCCAGTTTTGCTCAGTGGATAGAGAATTGGCCACAGCACTGAAGGGTACCAGGATCAATTCCAGTCAAGGGCACATAGCTTGTGGCAGAGCAGGGGCATGTCACAACCTATGTGAGAGAGTCACATTGATGTTTCTCTGTCTTTCCCTCTCCCTTCCACTCTCTAAAAATCAATGAAAAAATATCCTTGGGTGAGGATTAACAAAACAAACCAACCAACCCACTGCAAATTCAACATCTGTATATTATATATGTTTCGCCATCTCACTCAATGAAAACAGAATTGCTCATTCCAAAATATCAATTAAAAGGTGTTAGTCAAAATATTTACAATCCATATAACTGGGTGTTTCCTCTCCTATAGATATCTTTGCAACAATTGTTTTCCAGAATTGTTATGGTATATCCTTTATGGTATATGCCAGAGCCCCAAAATGATGGCCTGTAGGTACTCCAGATGTGACTTGTTTTGCCTTTACTATATTGTCCCCATAGTATTTTGAAAAGACCATTTCACATAAAAATCCAGATTTCCACTTTATCCTCAGTTGGTAACACTGGGTCTACTTTGCTTATGGCAACCTCTGCCTGGAGAACTGTCTCATTGAGATAGGGCAAGCCCTCTGTATCACCTCAAACCCTGCCATGCCCCACTGCTCCCTAACACTGAGCTTGAGAGTCAGGTGCCATTATCATTCTGCTTCTGCTGTTGTTTTGCTTATACTGGTAGTAGTGTCAATTAGAAAATTGACACTTGTACTTTAGCTCTACCCAAAGTGGGAAAACTAAAGATACACAGATTGTCAAAATGTTTCAAGGAAAATGGGAAAGAGGATATTTTTCCATAGAATAAAGAATATTTTACATGTCTAACTTGCAAGCAAAGTATGCTTCTGTTGAAGAAATATTACATGCTGTTATGAAACTATTGGCCAATTCTCCCAATTACATCTTCCTGTCCATTGCAAGCATTTGAATTTGTGATGTCCAGTTTATATAATACTTGTGGATATGCCACCAACTGAAAGATAGAGGCAGTGAAAAAGCAAACACAAGAGTTGGAGTTTTGTAAATTACACATGTATTAACCTATATTTAAATTTACCACATCAACAATTCTAAATAAGCTTGTTGAGCATCAAATGTACATAACAGATATCTGGGAGCTTGTATTTAAGAGTGGGAAGGGATGGGGAAGATAGACTAGGCAGGTATATAAGTTACTCTACCTGAGGTCAGCCAAATTCTATGGCAGAATGTGGCTGGAACTAGGAGGCCTTGGAAATGCCTTCTCCTGCTTTCCCAATTATATCAATTTTCCACTGGCTGATGATGGAACTTCTAACATTATAAAATTATTATTTTAAAGCTTTGATTCATGATAAAATGCAAATGCCACTGGGAGAGGTAAAGGAAATGGAAGCTATCAACTATTTTCATGTTGGATAAATGGGTTTCGGATCTTCCCTGATCTGATTTCACAAGGATGGAGGAACGGTCAGGAGATAAGCAAGCTCGTGGTGGGCGTGTTGCTGAGGAGGCGGGCTGGAGGTGAGGTCAGAGACCCCGCAGGCCATCTTTTTTCTTTTTAAATATATTTTTTTATTGATTTTTTACAGAGAGAAAGGGAGAGAGATAGATAGTTAGAAACATCGATGAGAGAGAAACATCGATCAGCTGCCTCCTGCACATCCCCCATTGGGGAAGCGCCCGCAACCCAGGTACATGCCCTTGACCGGAATCAAACCCGGGACCCTTCAGTCCGTAGGCCGACGCTCTATCCACTGAGCCAAACCAGTTTCGGCCTTTATACTAGCTTTATAAGTGATTAATATACCTTTACTATATGTTTACCTTTACCAGTGAGATTTATACTTTTATTACTAATTACAGGCAGTCCTTGGGTAACATAGGACTTGACGTATGTTGTTTCGTGGTTACGTCGCCATCTCCCATTTATTAAAAAAATAAAAGTTCCGTCATTTCGACATATGTACATACGTGCTTTATGTTTTTTATTATTTATTCACCACAAGTGAAGGTCAGGGATTGTTACCTTTTAAATTTTTTTTACTGTTTCACTTCATTACTGCTGTGTATGTGCTCCATGTGAGCGACGGTGGGTTCCCACTTACTGCGAAAATTGCGTTACGTTGCGCCATAGGAACAAACCTCCGACGTAACCCGAGGACCTACTGTACCTGCCAATCTGCATAGTTAGAAAGATATAATACTTAACAAAAAGCTGAGTAGCCTCCAAAGTAAGTTAAGCTAGGTTGAACTTTTTAGTCAACCCAATTCAGAGTTCATGCTTGGTCTCCAGATGAAATGGCATTTATCTTGGTTTGTCCAAGCAACTCTTAGAATTCTTTCACTAGGGAAATAAATCCGTCTAGAAAATTTAAGATATTATCTTTGTCAATGAACTTCTGACTTAATTATTGATATCTGAATCAAGTTAAAACTTCCAGAAAATTATGTGAATCAAGTAAGCATCAACAGACTACTGTATATTATTGATAGCTTTTGATCTGTGTTCAGTCACAACCTATTTTGACCATGTCAACTTAACCCTAAATAAATGATTCCCAAATAGAAAAGTCTCCACATCTCATCTACAAAGTTACTTGCACAGGGAGTTTGAAGTGAAAGGATTTACATTTAGTTTAGAAGATCTGAAACATTGAAGTTATCAGGAACTTGCCCCCAAATCAGCCAATTTTGTATTAAGATACAAACCCCACAAAATTTTAAATAAACTTAAAAGGATTAAAATACAAATTTTAAAAATGGCATCAAGCAGTTTTCTGAGATAAGAAAGACAATGCTAATAAAAATGACAGTAAAATGTTCACAAATAAACAAACCCCAAGTTTGGTCCTCTGTATCCCAAGAACACCTCTTAATAAATTTAAAATACTTGTGCTACCAAGGCATTTCCTACCTACACCAAATTTCTCCAAAATATTCTTGGACTTTCTATTCTATTCTGCTTCTAGTGATAATGCAAATTAAAGAATTTCTTAACGGTCTCATATAGGACTAGCAAAGTTAAGTATTAAATGACAGTCTCTGTTTCATTCCTTTTGGTGCCTAATATTTCTTCATTAATCTCCTTTCACTGAAATTATTTGCTATCCCAGTACCCTAAAGTAGGCAACATTTTATGTTCATTCCCTAAGGCCCTTTTACTCGTTTGTTTTTTAATATATTTTTATTGCTTTCAGAGAAGAAGCGAGAGAGAGAAACATCAATGATGAGAATCATCGATCGGCTACCTCTTGCATGCCCCACACTGGGGATAAAGCCTGCAACCCGGGCATGTGCCCTGATCAGGAATCAAACTGTGACTATTGGTTCATAGGTTGACATTCAACCACTGAAATACAGATGAAGCAATTGATAAAATTTTTGAGCCCTGCCTGCTGGGCCCTCCGGCCATTTTAATCCGTATCTTCCAAAAACTGGCAGAGACCATTTCTGATTCTGTTCACTCTTCCCCAGCCCCTCTTGACGTAAGATCATAGACATGAAGCCATCGCTGCAAGGCAAAAACATGTTGAATTTAAAGTGATTCATGGGTGAGTACCACTTCTTATTTCATTGGCATTCTGAACACTGCCAGCCAAAATATTAAAAGGTTCCGATGACTGAAAGTAAAACATTCTCTATAAGAACATATATGCCTCTGTTTTCTTCTGAACTAGACAACACATTTTGTGGTCTTTTTACAAACAATAATCCTACTGGTTACCTGGTGATGTACCTTCACACAACACAATAAAGGCGGCTGAGAAAGATCAGTACATACACATGTATTGTTGGCCAAAAGCAATCTAAGTAGCTTGTTAAACATTACTAACAGTGGGAGGTTTTTTTCTTGTTTTTGTTACTTTTTTTGGGGGGGGAGCTATTTAATGTAGCAAATTGTACATTCAATATTGACGTGTTAATGAACTTAACGCCTCTTACATGTAAACATTCAGAATTTCAGGGAGGATAAAAGTACAGAAAGTTGTCTGGAGTTCCCACTGAATTAGTCTTCAGTACTTTAATTTCAAGTTCTTGAACCGAAAGTGATACTATTCAAATACTAATAAATATGATCTCTATACACACAGTATTTAATGTAGGTCATAAAACTAAGAGGTTTTTGCCTGTAGTCCAAAAGTGAGCATTTAAAAATATTCAAGCCCTTTTGTGAACAGATTTATGACTTGCTGAGTTGGATTACAAAGCAGAAATGGTGTTTGAGGAAGAAGGCTCTTCTGTGTCTCCTCTCATTTAGAAAATGACATCTTTTCTTTGCAGAATGAAAAAGGAAAAAGATCTTCTTTCTTATTTTCATACAAGTTATTTGTTGTTAGGTCTGCGTGTTCTAGGTTCCTCCTGGTACTATACACAGGAGAGGAATCTGTGCTGAAGGCCCGCTTCCCAATCACGAGCAATCTGGCAGGAACCTGAAAACCTGATTAAAGGCTGCCTGCCAGAGGGCTCTGCATCTCCATACTCCTTCCCTGCAACTTTGATTAAAAAATCAACAAATTTAGCAGTAAGGCAACAGGCTCCCGAGTTCCAAGGAGTACATTAGTTCTGGCCACTAGTTGTCAAAGTCAGAGCAAGGAAAACAAAAAACATAACAGCATCAAGGGAGAAAGTAAAAAGAGGGAGAGCAGGAAAGAGGGAGGGACGACGAGAGGATCAAAAAGTAAAATAATAAAACATCATGTGACAGAACAGATGTACTCCAGGGAACAGGTGAATATTTGAAATTGTCTGTACTAGTCTTTGCGATATTCAGATAAAGAAACCAGCAATACAACAAAGGTGAGTGTTTTGAACATCACTGAGCCTTGTGTTACAGCATGTACCATGGAATCATTGAGCTATTTAATAGTCAATGGGGAAGAGATTTGGGGATGTTTGGCTAGCATGTAATTGGAACACACCATTTAAAAAGCAATAAACATAAAATTAAGAAGACAAGAGAAAGGGACCCATGCTGTACAGCCCATGAATCTCATTGGCTTTATCATGAAAGTTTATTGTTTTTAATCCTAGTACAATCAGCTACCAGTTACATACAGTAAAAAACAAAAACAGCCACAAAGCAACGATGATAGAGATAGTCCGTGACATTGTACAGTGGAGAAAATATTTTCTGTCAGAATCCTCCAGCAGATCCCCACCTGCTTCCAGCAGTTAAGCTATTACTCCCACCCTCCCCAATAGTTTATTTAAAAAATTAACATCTTGCTTAGGTACAGCAAGATCCTAATACCTCTTGGGGACACTGAAGAACTTTAAAAAACTAAAGCAGTAGAAACAAAACAAAAACTGAACCGTGGAAGCAAGGTGACACACAACGAAGCTCCAGAAAGCCTTGGCTTCAGATCACCTCAACGCGAACCATCTGGAAGGAAAAGAAAAGGCTGTCACGCCAGGGAAATTCAGTAGACCTTAGTATTTCAGTGCTCCACTCCTTCACAAATCTACAGAATGCATACTTCCTTTTAGAATAATGTTTTATAAATGTTGTAGCTGGAATATACTTACTCAATACAGAAGCATTTTTAACAAAGCATGCTGTCTACTTTATCTCAAACCCTTCATCAACCACACAGCAGGACTTGTATGACTATGTATCCTTACCTTAAGGAACAATGACTTCGTTTGAAAACGAAGTCTCATATATATTTGGTTCGATTGAGGGCTTTTTCAGCCAGGTGACCACTTTCATCTGTGATCTTCTCCCAATCAGTCTGTCCGACCACAAAACCTATGGCCCTTTTCCTATCTGCGTCCTTCTTTTCCTCCAGGTCTGCCCATCTCACCTGGAAAGAACACAGCATTAGGCTGGGCTTTAGGAAAAATAAATATACAAAAGGCCTTTCCCATCTCTGGGTATTTTAAGAGATAGGATAACTAACATGAAGCCAGTTTAAAAAATTAGAAATTAACTGGAAGAATTGGAGAAAGGCAAATTCTTATGTTACAGAAAGAACTCTCTAGTTAATCACCAAGTCCTCACCATTGCAGCTCCCAAACAGTTCAGCTTTCAGCTCAGTCCTGTTCCTTCCAACTCCTGTAACTCATTTACTGACCTGTTGTTTTTTGTTTAACCTAAAGCAAGCACTAACCTGCATTCTCACTCCCTCAATCCATTCTGCTAGAGTGTTCTCCTTAAAAGACACAGTTGTAACTCTCATCTGCTTTGAATCCTTCCCCTACAGAATAAAATCAAGCACACAGGTTCCTCTGAAGCTAGCTCTGTCTACTCTTCTGTGGCATCTCTGGGCAGTGCCTATAGAATAATGACTTTCAGCTAGAAATGGCTTCTTAAATGTCCTCCTAGAGGTACTGTTATTGAGACTTACAGTCTCAATTTTTTGGCCATTTATCTTAACTATTAACAGAAAAATGTTAACACTGAAAATTTGGAGGTATGTATATTTCATCCACTGTCACTAAAAATACTTTTAAAATGAGTGAGTTCAGCAAATAAAATAAGGGATATGTTCATCTTCCGCAGTCATCAAAGAAACAAACTGAAAGTCCACTTGAGCTGCCATTTTATACCCAATTAAGCAAGAGAAACCTTTAAAAAATAAATTACATTTTAAAACCTTACCATTTTGGTAAAATCCTAATGTGGTCAATTCTACTAAATGATCTTTTCTTATAGTGGAAGTTAATCCCAGGAACCTGCCTGGTATTTGTAAAAAGCTGAGTTACAGAAATCAAGAGAGCCCAGGAAAGGAATGAACAATGAATTCTGTATTCCTTACTACCTGTAAGATCTCCTGGTGCTCTGATGTTGATTTTGATGAGTGGTTTGGGAGTTAAAACTATTTGAAATGAGGGTGTGAGGCAGGGGTGGAGTTCAAGTGGAGCCACTTTAAAGAAAAATAGAAAAAAATATTTCTCATTTGAGATTATTTGTTAAGAGAACTACACAAAATTATCATTCCCAAGAAGAGTTATTTTTATTCTGTTGCCCCAACCTTAAAAGTGGAATAAGAGGTGTCAATACAAGTAGTTCCTGGGTGGAGCCGAGCACATAAAGAAGGCCATTAATCAGATCTCCCTTCCCCAACTCCTCAAGCTACGTAGACAAAGGGGTGGGTTGGAACAGGGGATAGGGACTATGAAGTATGTGAAAGAGCTTTGAAACCTGGAGTTCTCTGTAATGGCATCTACCATAATGAAGTTTTATTCTCTTAGAATAAGTGTTCTTTCACTAGTATTGAGGAAATTCATAAAAAAGCAATGATGTATAAAGAAATGATACACAACCTCATTCTTATTTAAAGAAATGTAAAATGAGGTACCTTTTTTCACTTATCAGATTGTGAAAAGTTTGATAACAGCACTGCAGGGACAAGTATGGAAAAATAGGCATTTACTGACACGAGGGTGTATAAATAGATGTAACCTTTCTGGAAAACAATCTCACAATTTCTGTCAGAAATGATAAATCTCACTCTATGAGCTTGCAATTTTAGTGCTAAAAATCTAGGGAAATACTTTCAAAGAGACACCAAGACATATACTCCACGACTTTCACCATAGTATTTATATTAGCAATAAAATGAAAACAGCCTAAGTATCTACCAACAAGGGACTGGATAAATGACTGACTGTACAACCAAAAATGGCATGCAAGGAAACCATTTAAGTAGACACTTATATAGAAAGATGGACAGATTTGCTGGAAAAGGCTTATGCAGATCATCTATATATATAAAAGCCAAACAGCAGAACTACCGGAACAACTGGCCGCTATTATGTGCACTATGGCAGCCAACTGGCCCAATTGGGTTCCCAATTGAGCCCCCCCAACCTCCCGCTTTCCCACCTCCCCCCACCGGCCCGGCCCCCACCCGTGCACAAATTCGTGCACCAGGCCTCTATATAACATGATCCCTTTTGCTTTGTTACTTTTTTTTGAAGAATATACACAAATATCACTTTTACTGAATTTGATATCTATGTGGAAGACCTATCCAACTTAATTTCTCTGCTCCCTTTTATAACAAACCTTCTTCAAAAAAGTTTTCTAGCATGGCCGGGTGTGGTTGATCAATGAACCATTCCCAGTCAGGGCAGGCATCTGCCCTTGATTGTGGGCTCCATCCCTGAAGGGGACATGCAGGAGGCAGCTGAGCAATGATTCTCTCTCATCACTGATGTTTCTATCTCTCCCTCTCCTTCTCTCTTCCTCCCTGAAATCAATAAAAATATATACATAAAAAAAAGTTGTCTACATGTCCTGTCTGTACTTCATTACCTATTCCTTCTTCAATGTGCTCCAAACTGGCTTCTGTCCTTCAACTCTCAAAGAAAATTCGATTGATTATTGATCAATCATCAGTGATCTTCATGTGCCAAATTCAATGGCTATTTCTCTGTTCCCAATGTACCTGTCTTCTTTGTATCATTTAATGATGGACTACTCTTTACTTCTTGAAACATTTACCTCTACCTGAACTTCTAAATTTTGGAGTCCTGAGTCCTATTATCATCTCCAACTTAATTGGTCCCTCACTGAACTTACGACTTTTGACTCTCAAACTTATGGCTCTTCCAGTTTTTCTCCAATTCAGTAAATGGCACTACATACATGGAGTGCTTATGGACAGAACCAGAAGAGCCACCCCTGATTCTATCCACTACTGGGCTCTCTAGAGCTAATCCATTAAGAAGTCCCATAAATTCTCTTTAACACTTTTCTCAGCACCTGGCTCTTTTGCCCCATGACAAAATGGCACAAGGGGCCACGCCAAAGTCCTTTAAGGTTGACAACATGTTAGCCACTTCTGTTCTCCATTTTTTTATTTTTATTTTTTTAATTAAATCTTTATTGTTCAGATTATTACATTTGTTCCTCTTTTTTCCCCTCATAACTCCCCTCCTCCCAGTTCCCGCCCCACCCTCCGCCCTCATTCCCCACCCACTGTCCTCATCCATAGATGTATGGTTTTTGTCCAGTCTCTTCCTGCATCTCCCACACCCCTTTTCCCCCCAAGAATAGTCAGTCCATTGCCTTTCTATGTCCCTGATTCTATTATGATCACCAGATTATTTATTCACTTGATTCTTAGATTCACTTGTTGATAGATGCATGTTTGTTGTTCATAATTTGTATCTTTACCATTTTCTTCTTCTTCCTCTTCTTAAAGGATACCCTGTTCTCCATTTTTAAGTTATGTGTACATTTTGAGCCGCTAATTTGTAAAATCTGACTCATTTTCCTGACGTGTAATATGATATAGAATAAACTACATTGCTATAAAAAAAATAGCATTCAGCCCTGGCCAGTTTGGCTCAGTGGACAGAGTATCAGCCTGCAGACCCAAGGGTCCCAGGTAGAACTCCTGTCAAGGGCACATGCCTGGGTTACCGGCTCAATCCAATGTGCAAGAGGCAGCCAATCAATGGTTCCCTCTCATTGTTGATGTTTCTATCTCTGTCTTCCTCTCCCTTCCTCTCTGAAATCAATAAAAGTATATTGAAACAAAAATAGCATTCATGTTTATAACTTTCAAAAACCAGATGCCCAAAAGGGCCCTTCATCTGTTGGCAATTAGTGACAAAGTCTCTTACCCTCTTCTTCCCAGGCTCAGAAGCACGAGTATCATAATCATCAGGGAGCTGAAGATAATCCTCCATTCTGCTGGCAATTGCCTCCCAGTCACGTTTCCTTTTAGTACCAGTTCTCAAGCCATCCAACTTGTCTGAGGGACAAACACAGAGCCGCAGCATTAAGGAAGAGTGTGAGTTTGCGCATGACACACAAACAAGGGAAAAGAAGGCTGGAACACTGTCAGAGGGCACATCCAGATTTCTGAGAGCAGCATTACTTGAAGATCCAAACTATCTTCTCAGCTGAGATAATATCAAGTTCTGTGCAATTTCCATTATTTATTTGATGTTCACACTGGTAGCCATTACATGTTGTTAGTTTAAGTAACAAATACGGGCAGAGCAAGAAAGGCACTTGTCTCATGGCCTCCTTGTCCTCCACCCCAACACAACACTTCAGCTCTGATGTTCAAGGAAAACGCAAAGTTGGATTTAAAAATTTTTTTTCTTCCATTCTTTTTTTCTTTAACACAATATTAATACTACCCATTTGATCTGCAATCATGTGTGATACTGTGTCATATGAAAAGTACTACCAAAAACTTAATGAGCCAAGCTAATGTTTTAAAAAAAGTTTTAGATGAACAGTTTCTTGGGATTTTGACCTCTGTGAGAAGATTCACCATGAGTTATTGTTTCTGAGTAAGTTGACTGCACAAATCACCACTTTCTTTGGTTATACCATGTAGTACTGCTGACCATTTTGAGGCAAAGGGCTAGTCAGCCAAAGTGACCAGACCTAAATTTTCTTTCTGAATCCTCAATCTTCTTCAAGGCTCCCAAAGTGTAATCAATTAAATGATAGGGATTGCTGATTCAGAAATTATGAGATACAAGTTTAGGTGTCTTCAAGAACAACACACGATGAAAATGTGTGGTCTTTTGTTAGTGTGTGTGACCTTTTTTATTGGTTAATACTGATTTTGATTTCTACATGTGAAATATTAAGAGTTATATATTTTAGTTACTTTGAAGCACTAAACTTTTGAATCATTTGTAGTTACATAAACACACTATTATTAAGCAGGTCAATAAAGGAAAACCTAAATACTTCAGAACACTCAATATTTACACTTCATTAGACTCCATAAAGGGTGCAGAGTGTATATAATAGAAAGCTGTTAGGCGTCAAGTTGGAGAGAACTTGATATGAAAAGTACAATGGAAGCAGTGGCAGGAGAGAGGGTGAGTTTATGCTTCAAATGTAAAAGTTTCACACACAACTAACTGAACCATACCATACAGGCTACAAAAACCAGTAAGATTCTGCATACTTGGCAAAGCTTTATTTCCTAAACGTCTCCCCCATAGAAGTAATAGTATTTAAAAAACCAGCAAGGCAAACTACAACACTTTACAAAACTCAGGAAATTTTTTTCATATTACTTTGGAAATTTTTTACATGGATGAGTTAAACAGAAATAGTCTCTTAACCTCTGTAAATCACATGTCGTACCAAATGGCTCTACGCACATGTATCTGACAGGCCATATTATACAGGATCTTAAAGAAGTGACCCTTCGATTGTACAGGGACATAGTATTAGAAAACCAATAAAGTCCCACAAACCATAAAACTGTTCTCAGTTCAACAGTGTAGAGTATAACCAGAAGAGTAGGAAGCTCTCATACACTTTTTATTAAGTGAACTCCAAAGGATTTCCAAACTTAATAAGATCAACTTTGACATTAACGTACTTCAAAGGGAAGTTTCATGTATCAATACCAAGAATAAGCATGGCCAAGCAGCAATGCAGGACAGTGTGAAAACTGCAAGAACGTTTTCTCTTACACTATGTACACGACAGGCGTTACAGACCAGGCCTTCGCCATTTGCAACATGGAAGTTCAGAATATGTAGTCTAGTCTGAACACCCTTGTTTGTCATGTTTAATTTGAAATCTGATCATGCACAACATGTTTAAAGTTTCTTTCTTGGGGTGAAGAAAGTTCATTATCTCTTCCACGTGGCTTCCTGGAAACCCAAACACACATGTATGGCATAAGGCGAGGGGAGAGGAATCTGGGGTGTTAGTTACAGAAGACAACTGGTGTCCAATACACTCATTACTTATGATTTCCAGAGGTTTGAGTTTCAAAAGATGAAGTTTAATGTGAAGATGAAGGTTTAAATATCCAACCTGACTGGTCACAGAATTTTACCACATCTTCAAGACAGTATATATTATTATAGAGCAACAAAAAAAAATTTAGATACACCTATGTATTTTCCAAATAAATGATGCTCCTGAACATTTGTTTATAGTGAACCATACAAGGGTTATGTGCTTATTCAAATCATAACTGCAATTGTGAAGAGATGAAACTTCCTGACACATAGAAGGCTAACACATAATAACTCATAAGCAGAGACAAATGACGGAGATGAGAAAAGCAAAAGGACTTGATATGCAGAAACCTAAATTATGTCATTGGAACTTAAGTAGCTTCCAGGCTAAATTCCAGCATCTGATGTGCATTAGGGTGCCTGGGTCTCAGATGCAAAGGAGTCAGGTGTGACTGAAGAGGAGACACAGTTTTCAACAACTTTATGATACTCAGGCCAGATATAGTGCAGGCCAGTTCTGAATATTTCTAAAATTACACCACTTCTAATTTGCAACACTCAAACAGAGGCTGAACTGTATGCTGTACTTAATGAACACAGATCAAGAGTCTGGAAGGAGATTTAACACACTCCTTGAAAGATTTTAGATGAGTCTTTTCTCATTGGCTGACTCACTCGTGAATCAAAATTCCTCAGTTACAAATTCAGCTCTTCTGGCTCAATGGGACACTGCTAAAGCTTAATGTTTCCATTCAGTTTTATCAAGTTACCAAGAGTAACATAAGAATGTTGGTAAAGTACTCAAAAGAAAAAATTGTACCTGGTAATCAAATTTACTGAATTTGTTATGTTAAGGAAGGCCCCATAAATAGGCTAATTCTCAGACAAAGGTCTTCATATTTTAGAGAAGAATCTTCTTTTCAGTTGGTTCCACAGGCCAATCTCAAAGCAAGCACTCTCAAGAATGCTCACACTCAATTGGTCTTCCTCCACAGGTAGGTTATGTCTCAGGATAACAAGGTGGTGCAAGAAGCAAGTCATTACATGAAACATCAATGTCACTCTTATTAAAATAAATAAAAACTCAACTGCAAATATGTTAGAATTTATTTTCTAGATTCATTACTAGATCTTCAGTGCCTTTAATTGAAATGGTTTATTTAACAAATCCATTTCTGGAATTCACTGTGTTACATTTTGTCTTTAAAATGGACTGAATTTGTATAAATGTATTATTTTCTGAGAAGCAAATGGTAGACAGGCCAGAATTTTTTCTAGAAATCAATACCAACATTAATAACATATTTTATTTTTTTATTTTTATTGATTTCAGAGAGGAAGGGAGAGGGAGAGAGGATTAGAAACATCAATGATGAGAGTGAATAATTGACCAGCTGCCTCCTGCATCCCCCCCACTAGGGACCAAGCCTGCAACCCGGGCATGTGCCCTCACCAGGAAACGAACCGGAATCAAACCCTGACCTCCCAGTTCACAGGAGCCACATGGACTGGGCAACAGCATATTTTCTTGAATCATTACTAAATTCCATTTTCCTTTCTCTTTAAAAATTAGGAAGGAAAACAGAAAATAGATGGGTTCAAGTTTAAGGCCTCTGGTTACATGCTTATTTAAAATATCACTTTATCACTTTTACAATCCCTTTGTCTCTTTATGATTTCTCTTTGCCCTCAAATATAAACACTATTTAGAGAACCAAAAAAGAGGGACATGATCTTTATAGCCTTACAGGTTATCCTAAAAACACAGAACTTCCAACATTCTTAACCTAATGTCAAAATAAGAAGATCTAAAGCATTATTATTATTATTAAAAGTAAGCTGTGATTATTATTATTTTCCTACATATTTAATAGCATTCAAACACTTATAAATGCTTTAAAAGTTTAGAAAAGGAGATAGATAGTTATTGTTAAGATTTCCCACAGAGGGAAGACTAGTGGAAGAGTAAGTCAGTAACCACATACAATTTTCACATGATATACATTAGGAAAAAATTCTAGATTTTACACAAAGTAACTACCCCAATAATACAGTAATACTACAGTTTATGGAATTCTCTTTTGACATAGGATCTGGTCAACATCAATTGCAAATGTCATCAGTTGGGCAAAATACAAGGCATAGCCTGTGAGATTGTATGTAAAATGGACACCCTCTTATGTCAGAAACACAATGTGCCCCAAACAGTGAAGCAGCTAAATGACTCAAATTTATTCTATGATTTTATGATCTTTAGATAGTTACTTTAGTTTGGCAATAATAGCATGATAACCAGGAAGAGAAACATGAAGACCGACAACCACACTTCATACATTGGTAAGGTCAATCTTCTCAAAAAGTCCTCATCACACTTTCTTATTTATTGTCCTATCTTAATCCACATGTTAAATGGTTCTCTTTAAGTAAGGTAAAAACAAAAACAAAGAACCCTGAAAAAATGTTTTGAAATAGTGGAGGAAAATCCAGTGGATATGCATGATTTTCTGTTGGCAGATAGACTCACACTAAGCGACTCCAATTTTTGATTTAGATAATCATTTTAATCAGTTAACCTTATAATCTAGCACTAAAGGCAAGTTGAAGGAAAATATAAGTGGAATCTTATAAAGCAGGTTCTTCAAAGACCTAAATTATATGTCTACTGCTCCCCACCTAGAAACTCTAATTTATTATACAAGGAAAATAACTGCCCTTTAATTAATTTTTAAGTTTTGCTATTTATTCTTACTATTATTACTACATAAAGTGTTCACAATCTGGTTCAATGTTGGGCTGCAGTTAAATACTCTTTTAGAAAAGCAGAAATTCCATCGGCACTAACATTTCTGATTAATATTAAAGAATGAATTTCAGAAGTGACAGTATTTTGTCACTACATTTATGACTAATCTCCACTTACTCTAAAAACTTTAAGTTGTATTGAAGGTAGTTCCTTTAAAATGCTCTTCTTTCACTTTGTCACAAGATAAAACTAGTTAAACTAGTTACGAAAGCTAGCAAAACAGACTGAGGATGTAAGGCAGGCCAAAAGCTTGGTTTAAGCAGAACTTTTGGGGAGTCTGTTCTTCTTAAACAGAAAGATCTATGACCATTACCATCAGGTATCACATATAAAAACAGGAAAAAGGAAATACCCACCTAGCTTTGCCTCAGATGTGTCCATCTCCCATTTGCTTTTCGGAATGTAACCCTAAATTGTACACAGAGAGAAGCTCGAAGGGTTAGAAAGAGACACATACATGCATATCACTTTTGAACTGGAAAAGCATTAAAATTGGGAATGGATTCAGCTTCCACTCACTAGTTATAAATATATCTTTAAGGAAAACACAATCTCATTATCTTTGAAGAAACTGAATTTCCAAATTCATAAATCTGCAGTGCCCAGATTTCAGAGTAGTCACTTCAGAATAGTATCATGAAGGTGCTTAGAGGCAGCTCCAGTTCAGGACACACAACTGTAGTCTGAACAACAGCTGTATAGTAAATATGGTGAGAATGTATGGTAGTTACTGTGCTAATATTAATATCATTCAGAGTAGCAGAGGATTTCTAATACTAGCTAGGTTATTTGCTCAATTCAATTGCTATTCTCAAGTGAAGTAGGCATGAGGTCCAGAGTGTTTTTCAAGACAGTTACTTTATAGTCCAGCATAATTTTAAATATTCAAAAGAAAAGAGAAAACTTGGTATCACTGAACACAACTATGAAGTTCAACTTAATTTTTAAATGACTCCATCCATTTAGCAGTAGATCTTACAAAGGTTAATTTTACCGAATCGACTTCAGAGCATTTCTTTTTTGTAATCTGGAAGTTGATGATTATTTCTCATGTCTTCTAAAATTACATTTTCCTATTACATGAAAAACCAGAAACTTCCACAGGCAATTTACGTCTTATTTAATAAATGATGGGTTGGTTTATTTCAAACAAAGTCCCGTAAGATTTTCAAATTTCCCAATGTACCTATATAACTATGTAGTAATCCTTTCAGTTTATAACCTGGCAAGTAAATATATGCTTTTTCCATGTAATTTACTATGATCCCCCTTTTCCTTCATTTGGACTCTGTTCTCTATTAGACCCTAACATACAGAACTTAAGTACTAGGACTTATAATAATATAGAACAGATTCAACAAAGGTGTCAGCATCATTTAAGAATCAATATATCTCTTGACTATTGGGAATGTTCAATTTCATAATACAGACTGACACACAGGTAATTTTATAATATAGACTAACACACAGGTAGATAAGTTGCAAAGTATGTTGAACATTTCATGACAGTAATATCTGTGTTAAGAGTTTAATAGAGCATCAATCATTCTTCCAGGAAACCTACAGGTCTTATACATTTCTAGTCTTTAAGCCAAATGAATAATTCAATTTCAACTCATTAGACAGTATTTCAGGTTTATAAATTATACCATCTTTTTCAAATACATTTTAAGAACAAACCAAGACAAAACTATGCTGAAGTGATAGTGTTAGAAGTTAATTAAGTATTGATGAAATTTGTACAAGTTATACCTCAAAAATCATCTGAAAACCTTAAGCATCATTACAATAATTATAAATTCTGAGTCACATCTACTATATTCACTGAAGCACTAATGAAGGCAAAATATTAAACCAATGATCTCTCTTCCCCTCCCCCAAATTCTCTTAACAAGAAAAGTTTGGCTTTCACCCAGCTATAGTAATCAATAAGTACATAGTACAAAATGCAAAGTTTATTTAGAATTTCAGTAAAATGGTATGAATGACATGAGATTTGCTCTTAACCCTTTGGTTAAAATTTACCAAGAATCTTTTACTCTTGGAATAAAACCCAGTAGTAGAAGATCTGGACTCTGCCTTTTTGAATGGGTTAAGAGAAGTTTTATAACAGAGATAAGCAAAATAAGTATATTAGAATCTTTTACTCTTGGAATAAAACCCAATAGTAGAAGATCTGAAATCTGCATTTTTGAGTGGGCTAAGAGAAGTTTTATAACAAAGATAAGCAAAACAAATATATTAATTTCTCCCTGCTGGAACCACACCCTGTTCTTACTTAAAACAACATCTTCTCACTTAAAATGTTAAGCCACTTGGAAATAAAAGAGATAGTCCAGCAGGGTAGAGTCCTAAAGCTTCCTTGCCAGCTTTCTGATATAAAAAAATGTAGTGTTACAGTAAAATAAATGTTTTATTTTTAAAAATTAAAAGTTCTACATTTTGACCTATACTTAAGCTAAACAGATGTTATGAACCAAATCCTGAACTGAATCTCCACAAAAGAAAAATGGACCCTCAGAAAGCTAACATTATAGACTTCTCACACAATCACTTACTAGTATACACGCTGCAAGTAGCTAATGAGGTCAACAGCCATATTCCAGAACAGCGTGGACCTTTAAGTGAGTTTCCTGCCTACATTTTAGCTCATATATGCCAAAATACAACTTAATTAAGAAAAATACTTTATTTAAAGAAAAGAAAAACTGAGACTCAAATGCCATTAACTTTAAAGCTTATTTTTTAATCCACATATGAAATCTAGAAACGTAGAGGCACCATCTCTATATAAACACACAGTTTCTATCCAGAGTCCCCTATATCAGACACGGGTTTAATAGGACCACTCCTTAAAGAGCCTGTATTCTCTGGGAGGTAGGAATAATGGTTCTTGCTTTGTATATTTTCAGAATATGAGAAGCAGTTTTAGCAAGGGCTGAAATATTAAGTGAACAAAATAATACTTTGAATTTAAAAAGCAACACTATTCCAAGGCATCACTAATCTCTGTACCTCATTTATCAAACACAGAAAAGTAACATAACTATATAGGTCACATATTCATGATGACAGAGTAAGGCAAACATCTCTAAGACGTATGATCAAAAGCATTTACAGGAGATACACAGTAACTTTGAACTCACACTATGTAAGTCTCTAATCAGCCTAAGCAAAATGCATTGCCTACACAGTCAAATGATTTTCCCCATCACTTAACAGCATAAAATGCAGAACAAATCCAGCAGTCTATGGCAACCCTCTGCCTCCTCCTTCAATAAGTTTTCTGCCTCAGTTGACAGAAACTCAATTTTGAGATCTTACAACAAAGAAGAGAAAATTATGCATATGGGGTAGTCTGTACCAGATATCTGCTGAAGTGCAAGAATACCCTTTGATCTGTAATTGATTTTCTTAAAATGTATACTCCCCTAAAGCCACCCACAAATAGATGAATGAATACAAGGTAAGTTTCTTAGCATTCTTAAAATTTTCTTGTAATAACACAGTAGAGGGTTCTTTTGAGCAGGAGAAAAAAAAATATCCAGAAGTTTCCTTGAAGATGATTATGGAAACTTCTACCACTAAGGTGCACATCAACAGTAATAATCTGACCATTAATCTGAATTTAAACACCTAAGAATTTTAATAAAAAGACACTTTGTTCAAAGTGGTTGGTCTGTCTCCTACCAGTTCGTTTTCCTCTTCTTCTGCATCTTTCTTTTCTTCCTTCTGTTCTTCGATATTTGCATCAAAATCTTCCATCTCTACCTACACCACCCCAATAATCAAAATTAAAAAAAAGACTGAGTTAACATTTAAGAAAATGTTGATTCCCTCATTGAGATCTGAAATGAACACAGCTGCCCAGAGAGAGACAGCACAGACTCACTGTTACATACTAATTAATTTTTAACACCCTAAACTTCAAAATACACTGATAAAAGGCAATAATATTCCTGCCTTTAAATTTTTCTGGGATATCTCTCTTTACAATTTCCTAAGGAGTATAATGATCTGTCCTACCTACATTGATAATTATCTGTTTTGAATGCCTATGAATTACTAAAATTTCCTTTAAGAACCTTTAGCAAGCATTTTTCTAATCAAGTAAAACACGTATATGATCCAAATTTAAAAATGTAAAAAAGGTTATAGTGAACAGTAAAATGACAGTAGCTTGGTCCAGAATGGTAGCAATGCAAATAGGTATTTATAGGGTGAAATCTGAATATGAACTCTATATGAGGTGACTCAGACTTCTAGTTTTGTAAGAGAATGCCCTTGTTCTTGGGATACCTACTGAAATATTGAGGGGTAAATGGTTATGAGATCTGCAGCTTCACTCTCAAATGGTTCCACAATAAAAGGTTAATATGCAAATAGACCGACAGGGGGAATAACTGAACAACTGGTCACTATGACGTGCGCTGACCACCAGGGGGCACACGCAGAAAACGGCAGGCATAGGCAGCAGGCGGGAGAGCGCAGAACATAGCGGGCATAAGCCGAGGCAGGATGGTGGAGGTGAGTGGGGGCGCCAGACTAAGGTGGGGTGCTGGTGGTTGTCATCGGGGCGAGCCTCTGGTGGTTACTCAAAATTCTTTGCTCCCATGCACTGCAGTCCTTCTTGGCGCTTGCACCTGCTCCCAGCGCTGGCCCCGCTTGCACCCACTACCGGCGCCGGAGCTGACACTCGCACCCGCTGCTGGCACCTAGTGCCAGCACCGATCACCGGGCGCCAGCACTTATAGCTCAGTGCCTTCAGCAGGTGCGAGCAGGAGCTGCCAGCCCTGATAGCCCCTCAGGGCTTCTCCACCTCTCCCTGCTCCTGAGGGGCGATCGGGGCTGGCAGCCACCTCTCCTACCCACTGCTGGCAACAGCCCAACTCACACCCGCTGCTGGAGCGAGCCCCAATTGCTCCACACGATCAGCAGGTACAAGCAGGGCTGGTGCCAGCAGTGTGTGGGAACAGGAGCGGGGTTGCTGGCAGACAGGGGAACAGGGGCCACAGTGGGAGGGGCCAGGCAGGGGCGCAGAGGATGGGCCAAGACCTGCCCCGGTGCCCACCGCAGCCTCGTGGCCCCCTACTAGTAATAATAATGAGGAGGAGAGGGAGAATATTATCTATATAGAGAAAAATGTGGCAAAATATTAATAACTGATGAATCTCAATCATAGTTGTACAGGTGCTCTTATATTATTTGTGCAACTTTTCAGTAGTTTAAATCTTTTTCGCCCTAGCCGGTTTGGCTCAGTGGATAGAGTGTCGGCCTGCGGACTCAAGGGTGCCGGGTTCGATTCCGGTCAAGGGCATATACCTTGGTTGCGGGCACATCCCCAGTGGGGAGTGTACAGGAGGCAGCTGATTGATGTTTCTCTCTCATCAATGTTTCTAACTTTCTACCCCTCTCCCTTCCTCTCTGTAAAAAATCAATAAAATATATATTAAAAAAAAAATCTTTTTCAAAGTAAAAAGGGTAAGGAAAAGGTCATTTTGCACTGCCTTTGAGGCAAAAGACCCTCACCTCTTCAATAGCAGCATCTTGCAACAAAGAACGAATGTCCAGACGCATCATATGACGAGGTGCAGTTTCCCAGTGATCAGCCATCTATTGAGAGATTCAGAGGATCAAGTTATCTCTGTAAACTATTCAAAGAAAGACCAAGGCAGCATCCAAGACAAATTAACTAATGTTGTGAAGTCTAACAGGCTAGCTCCAGGCAGAGCTAGGCCATCTTTTTCACTCAGTGGTTCTCAACCTTCCTAATGCCGTGACCCTTTAATACAGTTCCTCATGTTGTGGTGACCCCCAACCATAAAATTGTTTTTGTTGCTACTTCATAACTGTAATTTTGCTTCTGTTATGAATCGTAATGTAAATATCTGATATGCAGGATGTATTTTCATTGTTCGCAACCCACAGGTTGAGAACCGCTCGAAAGGATAAGGAACATTTACTAAAGCAGATAGAAAAGATATTTTCAAAGTAAAAGGGATAAACAAGAAATTCCAGACATCAGAGATGAGACAGCCTAAATGAAGTTTAAAATACACCACCTTCTATGTTTAAAAAAATCACCTTGTTTATTTCTTTAAGCTTTCTTCCATGAATATTTCTCTTGCCACAAGTCTGGTTATCGGCACTCATTTCAGCCAAATACACCTAAGAAAGAATGAATAATGGTTAGGCAAACAAATACAGCACTTACATGATAACACAAAGTACTCAAAAATTATTTTAAGTCTTTACCTCAAATCCCTTGGTTTTTGCTGCACTCCAAAACTGGTCAAAATGTCTAACTCTGTCATTGATGGCATCCAGGATGATGAAAGGGAAAAAGCCATCATCAAGAGTCTTTTTGAAAGTTTTGAACATGCTGGTGCGATAGGTCTCCTCCATCTCAGCTTCATATTCATATTCCATTACCTAAGATCCCCCAAAAGAGATATGGAGTTAGCAAAAGCAAAGAATCATCTTACACCTCTTCTTTGGTCAGCATCTGGATAGAGATAGATTTATAGTCATTACTTCATACCAGAGTACTAAAGTTTGTGTTAAAAAAACAGAGAACTCTTTTTTTTTCTCCCAAAAAGCCATATTTCTCCTTTCATTGTTAATGAATTAGGATGTAACCATACCTTCTTTTTCACTTTCTTTCCAGAATCTGGATCTTTTTCTTCTTTTTCCACTTCAGTGATGAAGTAATCATCCAGGCTTAGAACTCTGGGTGCAGGTCCTCCAAATTCTACCTCCTTATCCTAAGAACCAGATAGTTCAGAAAGTTAGAGAATTTATGAAATAAATTAATGAATGTTTACACTAAAATTCCTTCTTGTGGCTAAATAATATGCAATATTCTGGTGCTTTTAAATCACACAGAAGCAAAAATATTTGTCTAAGCAGATCAAAATTTATATGGGACAGCCTCTACCATATGAGCCAATAAAAATGGATCAAATGGGAAATTCTGTATTGATAAATGCTGCCTGGTAAAAAGACAAGCAGCTAACAAAAGCAACTGACTTTTTGGCTTTTCCATACTCACTCGAATAAGTTTTGCAACATGTGTCTTTCCACTGCCTGGCAATCCTCTCATTATAACAACAATCTGAAACACGATTAAAAAAAAAGAATCACTCAGAGAAGATTTTTTTTACAATAAAATTTTATAATTAACAATGATCTGTATTATTCTCCATGACAAACCACATGATACGCCATGAAACAAATGTTAATAAATTTTAAAGAATAGAAGTAATATAAACTACTATGACTACAATGGAATAACAACAAGAAGAAAAATAAAAAAATACTTTGAGAAAAATAAAAATGAAGGCAGCATGCCAAAACTTATGAAATGTAGCTAAAGCTGTGCTCATAAGGAAATTTATCAAGAAGAAAAATCTCAAATAATAACCTAACCTTTTATCTTAAGACACTGTAAAAAGAAGAACAAACTAAACCTAAAGCAACCAGATCGAATGAAATAATAAACATTAGGGCAGAATACAATGGAGAACAGAAAAACAGTAAAAGCTGGTTCTTTGAAAATATCAAAAATATTGACACACTTTTAGCTAGAGTGACAAAGAAAAAAAGAGAGAAGACTCAAATTATTAGAATCAGAAATGAAAGAGGAGACATACTGCCAACCTTAGAGAAATAATAAAAAGGATTATAAAGGAATACTATGAACAATTATAGGCCAACAAATTAGATCATGAAATGGGCAAATCTCTAGAAAGACAGAGACTATTGAAACTGACTCAAGAAATAATTAGAATAGAACTAGGATAAGTAAAAGATTGAATTTGATATCAAAAACTACCTACAAAGAGCACTGGTTGGGTGTCTAAGTTGATTGGAGTGTCATCCGTACGACAAAGAGTTGGGGGTTTGATTCCTAATCAGGACACATACCTAGGTTGCGGATTCAATCGCCAATTGGGTGAGTACAGCGGCAACTGATTGCTGTTCCTTTCACAGTGATGTTTCCCTCTATCTCTCTCACTCTCCCTTCCTCTCTCTAAAACATACCCCCGGGTGAGGATTAAAAAACTATCCACAAGGAAAAGCTCAGGCCCAGAAGAGTATAGTACATTATTGAATTCTAACATTTAAAGAAGAATTAATACCAACACTTCACAAACTCTTCCCAAAAATAGAAGAGGAAGGAACAATTCTGAACTCATTTTATGAGGCCAGCATTTCAAATCAAGCAGATAACCTGGATACCAAAACCAAATACATCGTAAGAAAATCACAGAAATCTTTTATGAATATAGATGCAAAAATCCTCAACATGATACTAGCAAACTGAATCCAAAAACATAAAAAGCATTATACTCCAAGTGAATTTATCTCAGGGATGTAAATTGATATCTGAAAAGCAATTAATGTAACATATATCAATATAATAAAAAACAAAAATACACACAATAGAGTAAAATAAAAAATCTACTTATATAAAAACCATGGGCCGAAACCAGTTTGGCTCAGTGGATAGAGCGTCGGCCTGCGGACCGAAGGGTCCCGGGTTCGATTCCGGTCAAGGGCATGTACCTGGGTTGCGGGCACATCCCCGGTGGAAGATGTGCAGGAGGCAGCTGATCGATGTTTCTCTCTTATCGATGTTTCTAACTATCTATCTCCCTTCCTCTCTGTGAAATATCAATAAAATATATTTAAAAAAACAAAAAAAACAAAAACAAAACAAAAAAAAACCCCATGGGTGGTGTTCGTCACATATAGACGAACAGCTGACCGAGCGGAAGGAAGTCAGTCCTACAGGGGTTGTCTTGGCAATGGCTGTGCCCTCCCCCAAGCTGTTTCCCGGAGCTGTTTCCTGTAAGCATGGAGTTTGAGGCAGGAACCTGCCCTGGGAGCCTGGAGGCAGGTCTTTCTAAAGTGTGCCCAAGCATGGGGTGAACCTGAGTGGGGCGGCTGAAAGGCTTAGAAAAGAGACAAGAGAATGAAAGCCGGGTCTCAGTAGGACACTGCTTCTCTGAGGGACAGCGACCACGCCCACAGTCATGCCTTTAGTTTATAGCAGATGCTATGAGGCAAAGTAAGGGCGTGACCAAGATGTTTACAACATCCTCCTGGGTTTCAATCCTACTCAACTATGTGCACCTGAAATCTATCAAGCCCACATCACTCAGGCACGTGGGGCCACGTGTTCAGACCATAGGTTCAAGCTTACAACTACAGCT